CTTCTTTGCAGCTCAAGGCCTGCCCTGTCCAGACGGGTACAACATTGCCGATCATTTGCTTGACATTGCCAGTCATGGCAAGGACAACGCAGGTGTGGATGGCGCAAACGTTGTTGCCCAATTGGCTCAACAGGACGATCAGATGCACCTCCGTAATCGTTCGTCCGTTGATGCGCCAGTCAAGAGCACGACTCGCCTCACAGAGCAGCACACCCAACTCAGCACAGAGACGGTGATCATGTCGTCGGATACACTGCCATTGCCCTCGGATGAGACGCTTTCGGAGCCAAAATACTGTGCCAGCTTCCTTACACAGCTTTCGGTTCTTGTGGATCGCTCTTGGCGCCATTTCTGGCGCCAGCCTGGCCTGTTCATCGCGCACCTTGCGATCTCGACCATTCTCGGGTTGTTCATGGGCGGCCTCTATTGGAAGGCTGATTCGTCACTTGGTGGCATCCAGAACCGTCTTGGTTCTATTTTCTTTTTGCTGAGCCTTATGGGTTTTTCGTCGCTCAGCGCCATCTCGGCCTTTTCTCAAGAACGTCTTCTCAACATGAGAGAGCGTGCCACTGGCTTCTACTCGGCTGGTCCTCTCTTCATCTCAAAGGTAATTCTACCAGCAGTGCAATCTAACGCCTCTACGATGAAGCTAAATTGCCATCCTGCAGGTGCTCTTTGATGTTATCCCCTTGAGAATCATTCCAGGCTTCATCCTGACGGCCATTCCGTTCTTCATGATCGGCTTTACATCTGGAGTCGACTACTTCCTTCGCTACGCCTGCGTAATGGTTCTCTTTGCAGCCAACTGCGGCTTGTTCTGTTTTGCGATCGGTTGTGCAATCCCCGAATATGGCACTGCTGTGCTGGTTGCGTCAATCTCGCTGCTCTTCCAGATGCTTTTCGCTGGCCTGCTCGTCAACCAAGTTCTGATACCGGCTCCCGTTAAATGGCTGCAGTACCTCTCATTCTTCAAGTATGCATTCGAGGCTATTGTTGTCAACGATGCGGATGGCCTTCGCTTTGTCGATCAGATCAGCGGAGTTGATATTGTGGTTCCTGCATCTGTCGTCTTGGGCAAGTTCGGCATCGACATTAACAGCTTCTGGCGCGACTTTACCGTCAGCATTGGCATTCTCTTTTTGCTCTTGGCTGTTGTTGCACTGTTGATCCGGTTCCGAATGCGCGAGCGTCGTTGAAGAAGCAATGCTGGCCATGAAATACATATGAATATGCCACCCGACTGTCCAACACAGCTGTAGTTCATTCCTGATTGGGTTGGATTTGAAAGTCCAGCATCTAACGGCTGGCGACTCGTGGTGTGAGGATCACTTTCTTGTTGGGACTTTGGCTTTGGAGTAATGTTGCATCATACGGCGTTGGCCATCGAGTCTGGTCACGTGTTTGGCCGCAATGCCCAATTTGGGACAAATTCATTCATCTTCACTCAATCAACCAAACAATTCGGACAAAAAGAGAGCAGAGCAGTCGCAACGCAGCGTTGGCATAGAACACAGGCAGGTGGAACACACCAGTGCAAGCAGAACACACAGCCCTCGTCTGAACCGTCATTCATGCAAGCATCATCAGCAACTCCAGACGCAGAGTCGTCGCCGTCGGTGACGATGAAATCGTCAAAGATAGCAGCTGCTAAAGAAATGTTGGTATGTCAGCACTGGTTGTCTGTTCTCCCATGTTCCCACCTAACTGTTGCCATTTGCGGGTTCTTCAGGCACAGTTTAGTGAAGCCGAACGCCGCCAGTTCTTCATGAATGGTCTCGCTGAACTTGAGGCCCAGGAATCCGCCACAACACATGCCAATGTGCCAGTGGAGTCGTCCTCCAATGCCGATACAGGCGATGCGTCGTTGCCAAAGCTGGTTGTTTCGCAGTCGGTTGTCGACGGCTTCGTTGCACCCTTCATGGACCCACACTCGGTCGTCGAAGATCTTGTCAAGTATATCGACTGGGTCACTTCGGAGTGGTCCAAATCGTATGACTTGATTGCGCCGATCGGCAGTGTCATTCAAGCAAGTGGCATGGGCAAGACACGGCTGCTTATTGAGGCTGGCAAACACCGCTTTGTCATGTTCATCTGTCTTCGTGGACCATCGGAGAACGGCTACCCTCTTCAGAGCGATATTGTCAAGAAGATCCCTACTGATAGTCTGCTAATCACCAAGTGGCTGCTCCGGCTGATCATCGCCTGCATGCGCCACCTTGTCAAGACGCTTGAGAAACAGCCTCTGTTGACACCAGCAGAGTGGATCAGTATGCAGCTCGATCGCAAGCTGCAGTCATCCTTCTGGTCGGAAATCGTGAACACGATGGAGTCGGGTAGCATGAGGACGTTTGTCAGCAAGTTTCCTTCCGATTCTCCGAGGGTGTCAACAGATGACATATCAGGTGAATAGCACATGAATCGCATCTTGTTTTACTCCGTTGAAATCGCTTTGCTGACATGTTACTTGTCTTTTGGCTTGTCTGAAGACGAGGCTAGGCCGAATCGCCGTGAGACTGCCTGCGAACTTTTCAAGGTCGAGATGGAAAAGTTGAAGTCGGCGCTTGCAGGCAAGCAGCCAGAATGCCCCACCGGCCTTGTTTTTGCAATGGATGAGGCATCGCGTCTTTCCGACTACCCTGATGACAAGTCGATCGATGGCCATACGCATTTTGATCGGTTCCGCGAGCTCTTTGGCTGTATTGCCCGATGCGAATCCAATGGTATAATGGGCCTGCTTCTTGATACAAATGGATCCATCGACAAGTTTGCACCTGCCGCTACGCCCACCAAGGCCAACTCACTTCGTGCTATCGACGCAAAGCAGCTCCTCCTTCCCTTCTGGAACCTGCGCTCGTTCGACATTTGCACTGCTAAGGACTCTTTCGAGTTGGTCTCGTGCATCATCACCACGGCACTCAAGGAAAAAACCTACAACAGTCTCGAGCAACTATTCGACAACCAAGCGCTTGAAACCTCCCTCTGGCAGGCACTGCGTCACATCGGCCGTCCTCTTTGGCTGAGCATTACAAATGCCGGCGAGGTCCATTCTATGGTCCGCATTGCAATGTCGAAACTCTGTGCCGACACCGATGTTTTCTCAGTGTTCCAAATGCAGAGCAACGCCTCCAACAACCAGAACACGGAGCCTGCTTATCGCGCGGCGTTCAGCACTCTGGTTTGTCCACACATCAAAGCGCGAAATGTGAAGGACACGGCGATTATGACGGAGCAGTTCATGGCCCTGTGCACCAGCATTTCGAACGATCGCGAGGCAATGACGATCATGTATCCGTCCGATGCTGTGCTTGCTGAGGCTGCTCATTGCACACTCAAGTTTGCCAGCAGCAACACTGTCTCGTTCAAGAAGGATCGGCTGGATACAACACGGTGGTACTTCATGCTCTTGCAGCTCTCAGTCGACATATCCAATGGCTTTATGGGGGCAGGCGACCGCGGCGAGCTCGTTGCGAGAATTGTTCTTCTTGCAGCTGCATCCCAAGCGACCTGGCATGCATCGCCTCACTGCTCCTTGACGATGCCTCTGACGGTCTCGCGCTTTTTGTCATCCATTTTCAGTGGCTCTGCACTGAATACTGCAACTGATCAATCTGGAAGTGGTAAGATTGACCGCCTTGGATGCTTGATGCAGTCCTTGTGGACCAGAGTGATGGCTTACAAGGTTCTGGATTCAATTATGCCAGAAAATGCTTGGCGTGATGCTTTTCCAACGGATTTGCTGAACGGTGTCATTTTCTTCAACCACTTCGCCTTCACCGAAGAGCACAGCAGTGTCGATCTTCTACACTGGGCATTTAACCGTTGTGCAGCAATCCGTTGTCGGGATGGGCAAATTGCTACGGACCTGGTTATTCCTGTCTTGCTCGGCCAAACATACACAGTGTTGATGATCCAAGTCAAAAATCAAGCACAGAAGTTGTCTGATCGTGACATTGACAAGATCACTCTGCGCCATGCTGGGTTTACACTTCAGACGGACAAGGACAATAATCCGCCGCCGCATCTAGTGATTGCCATGAGCCTCTGCGAGAGAAAAGATCGTCTGGTTGTGCAAGTACCCAAGGATAGCAGTAATGTGAGTTGTGCATGTTGTAGCTTTGGCAGACATGGTGATTGACACTCGACTGTGTTTGCAACGAAGCGTTATGTGATTGTGGCAGGAGGATTCCGAGAAGTGTATTCTGGCATCGAACCGATTGCAGGCTCGCTCAGCCTCTTTAATAGCATGTTTGGAAGAGAGCAGTTTGGCCAAAGTGTTGACTTGACTCGATTCTTGACTACTATGGTGAGAACTGTTGCATTTTTTTGTTGATGTTGTGAACATGATTGCCTAACCAGATACACAGACGCCATTTGAATCTGCCAAGCATTACCAGGAGGAGTCCAAGGGCAATTGAGTGTGCGGGGAATCAGGGTCAGTTCGCTGGAACACACCATGGGCAGCCTGAAGAAACGCGCACATTCGCGAGGCGAGTGGACGCACGTCTCCAGGTGCATTGACTTGTTGCTGGTCACCACAGAGCCAAGACTCTGTGATGTCCGCAACACCGGATAGAACTCCTCCGCCGAGGAGCGTTATGTACACTTGGTCGATTCTTGTAGATACTCGGATGGTCCTAAACGTAGCCAGAAGATCGTCGTCATAGCCGAGCGCGGCGAGAGCGGCGGGATCGTTGGATCGGGGAGCTTGTGTTCGATGGCTTCCGAGATCTGGGCAATGAATGGGGCGAGGTTGGCGTCGTCGCGTTGGATGGCGAGGCCGGTGCAGCTGACGACAAAGTGAGCCCATTCGTGGGTGCCGTTCAGGCTCTGGTTGCAGAGGATGCAGTAGCCGTCGGTGAAGGGGTGGTTGGCGGCGAGGAGGTTGAGGCGGAGGGCGAACTTGAGCGTCCACAGGCCGTCGATCCGGGCAAGCAGCAGAGTGCGGACGCCATCGGCAAGGTCACGTGACCATTGTCATTTCGGTAAAAGAAAAATGGGAGCGAGCCTTGTCGGGTTCGAACCGACGACCCTCAGTGCCGGAAACTGATACGCTATCCACTGCGCCAAAGGCCCCCTCTTGCTAACATTCAAAATTTTAGTTACTATATTCTCTACCGACACTATTTGCACAACCACAAGCAGTCGTGTACTTTCAAGACTTTTGCTGCAAAGGTAGGGCATTTGAGCAAATCAACGTGATGGCCATGAAACTTTCATTGATGCTCAAATAACCATGAGCCTTGGAGCAATATTCATAGCCATGAGTTCCTGGAAGAGCAGCTTGCACGCATATGGCAAGTACACCTGGGAGATCTGTGTCTTGTTCCGGCACGCGCGACATTCAAACGAGTTCTTCTTGAGATTGGCAACGGCCATAAGGCCGCACAGGTCGCAGACGTGAATACGGTAGGCGTCCGAGGCATCAAACAGCCGCTCCTTCAAAAAGTGGGCTGCACCGTGCGAGATCATACAGTCGCGCTCCATCTCTCCAAAGCGCAAACCACCATCGCGCGAACGGCCCTCAACCGGCTGGCGTGTCAGGATCTGGACTGGACCACGTGCGCGACTATGAATCTTGTCGTCGACCATGTGCTTGAGACGCTGGTAGTAGGTTGGGCCGGTGAACACCTGCGCATTTAGCTTGCGGCCAGTGTGGCCATTGTACAGCACCTCAAAGCCGCGTCGCTGGTACCCAAAGCCTGCAAGCGCCTGCGAAATCGCCTCGACAGTCACATCAGTGAAGGGAGTTGCATCGCCCTCATCGCCGGTAAAGGTCGACACCTGCCAAGGGAGGGTTAGCGTATGCGAGCCAGACGAAGCACATGGGGCAAGGAACGAGGTGCAAACCTTGGACAGAAGACACTCGACAAGATGCCCAATGGTCATTCGAGAAGGAATCGCGTGGGGGTTGACAATCAAGTCTGGCGTAATGCCTTCTGCGGTGAATGGCATGTCCTCTGTGCGGTACGTGATGCCGACTGTGCCCTTTTGGCCATGACGCGACTGGCCAAGAAGCACAGCGTCAGACATTCTACAGCCGTACACTCGGCTCAAAGTGGCAACAGTGGCATCAGAACTCACAGCAAACTTGTCACCCATCTGGGGCACACGGATGGATCGAACACGGATTTTGACAAACTTGAATCCGTCCTGGTTTTGGGTGACCACGACTTGGTCAATGATACCATTCTCGGTGCTCTTGAGAGGCGTCGAGGCATCACGCTTGGTGTGTGATGTGGTGCGCTGCCCCAATTCGGCAGTGTCATCTGGCAAAGGCACCGTTTTTCCTGTCCCAAACCAGACATGTCAGCACAATGGAGACATGCATGGATTCACAATGCCCTCGCGACAACTTGGCAACATCAGACTTACCAATGATAATGTCTTCTCCACTGACGCGGACACCAGGGGCTACAAGTCCGTCATCCTCGAGCTTATCGTACGTGCCGTGCTTGAGGCGGAGCGTCGTGTCTCGAGTAGGCTTCTCAAGCGTCTCCGTGGAGATCATGCCGACCTTCTTCTCTTGGTCCATGTAGACACGGTAGTAGAGGCTGCGGAACAAGCCGCGATCAATGGAGCTCTGGTTCATGATAACCGAGTCTTCCTGGTTGTATCCCGAATAGCAGGCAATGGCGACCACGGCGTTGATTCCAGCGGGAAGGTCTCGGAAGTGCATATACTCCATGGCACGCGTGGTGGCCAGCGGCTTTTGCGGATAGAACAGGATGTTGGCCATGGTGTCCATGCGCATTTGGAAGTTGGTAAGGAAGATGCCCATGGCCTGCTTGCCCATGGCCGACTGGTAGACGTTACGAGGCGATTGGTTGTGGTCCGGGAAGGGGATGATGCTCGCACAGATGCCCAGGATCATGCTGGGGTGGATCTCGCAGTGTGTGTAGTTTCGCGTGTACACTGACGAAGACTTGAGACGGGCTGTGCCCACGTCTTGCCGCTGTGCAACGTGGCCCTCTGCCGCCATGCGTGCCTCGGCAAGATCGTCGGGCGTCATGCAAATCATGACAGTCTCTTCTTCCTCAGTGTCAATGTACTCGATCACACCAAGGGAGAGAAGGTCGGCCCAGCGGATTGGCTGCGTGCTCCGAGGTTAGTCTGAGCGTTCAAAGTGCAATCGACAAGACGTGCACACAATCCATGCATACCTCTTCCTGATCCCCACTCATCTGCATAATGTGTTCCTTGGTCAACACAAGACGCTGCTCGGGAGTAACGACAAAGAGCGAGCGACAGATGCGGCCAGCATCGGTGTATAGCCGCAACTCCTTGTCTCGAACATCGCGGACGACGGAAACCTCGGGTGAAATGTCAACGCAGCGGCGCAGCTTGCGCAGTGTCTTGACAAGCTGGTCGGGGTCGCGGTGGACGCCGACCCACACGCCATTCAGGAAGATCTTGGTTGCCTCTGGAATGTTCTGCGCGGGAACTTCCTCGAGCGACTCCATCATCCACTCGTCCAAAAACTCCATGATGGGACGAGACGAAGATCCGACGGTGACATACGACATGAGCGACAGGTTCTTGACAAGACCACAAGCCTGTCCCTCTGGCGTTTCAGCCGGACAGACCATGCCCCAATGCGTGTTGTGCAGCTGGCGCGGCTTGGCGAGCTTGCCTGGCGTGCAGCAAGGAGTCGAGCGATAGGGCACACAGGAAATGGCAGCCCAAGACAGGAGAGGATGTCAGCCAGCCGAAGCGAGCAGTCTCACGTGCATATCTGCGCAACGTACCATCGCGTCCAATGGGCGTGTTGAGACGTCGCAAGTGCGACAGCGTTGATGCAAACGTGTAGCGGTTCAACACCTGACTGACTCCTGCACGTGCCTCCATAAACTTCTTTTGATCGCCCCAGTTGCCGGTTGCAAGGGAGTACTTGAGGCCGTTGGTGATGGTGCTCGACTTGACAGCCAGCGACAGATTGAATTCGCGGCCCGTTTCGATCGTCTTTTGCAAGTATCGGCTGACATCCTTGGTGAGCTTGCGGAAGAGCATCCGGAATAGTCCGCCCAACAGCGGCCCGGCAAGATCAAGACGCTTCTTGCCAAAGTGGTCACGGTCGTCAGTCTCGCGACGATCAAGGGCCGCCAGTAGCAGCCGGTGAATCATGTAGCCAAAGAAGTACGCCTTGCGCGTTTCTGTGTGTGGCTTGGTGCCCACGTGCGGCAGCATCTCCTTTTGCAGAATGTCTGCTGCATATCTACCAGCCCAACAGACCGTGCAAGGAGGTGAATGTTAGCACGCGTAGCAAAAGTCAAAGAGGAAGCGCAATCATCCACACTAGCACTGACCTGATGCGGCGTTCTCGAGTAACACCCACCGTCGTGCCACGCTTTCCAATGAAATCAAGCGCAACGTCGCGGTCCTGGATAACAAAGGCTTCTTCGATGCACGGCTTGAGCATCTCGAGCATCTGGTAGTCGTTAAAGTCGTAGCAGATGTGCTGCAGGATGTCGCGATCGGTGACAATTCCCAAGGCACGAAAAACGACGACGATAGGAATGTCGGTCTTGATGTAGGGCAGAGAGGTGCGAATAGGCTGGCCTGATCCGCCGCGTTCTTCGCTCTTGAGGGCCATGCGCTTGATAAACAGCGTCGAGGCGACCTTGGATCCACGCTCGCTCTGGCTGCGAATCTCGCAGCTGAACGAGTACGACGACGGCTGCGAGCGCGAGAACACATAGACGTGGTTGGTTGCCATGCGTTCCTGGGCAATGAGCACCTTTTCGGAGCCGTTGATGACAAAGTAGCCGCCCTGATCGTACGGGCACTCGCCGACTTGAACAAGATCACGCTGCGAAAGATCCGAAAGGATGCAGAAGGTGGAGCGCAGCATGATGGGCACTCTTCCAATGAACACCTTTGTGAAGCCAGAGTCGGCAACTTCCGTCTCCCACACCAGATCGTTTGGGTTGGTGACGCCGACGTTGGATGGGTGCCGTGGGTCGGCAACGCGGATCTCCTTTTTCATATCGACATACAATGGTGCCGCGTACCTGCCAGGTAGGACAACAGACAATCACAGCAACTCTGTTAGTTTTCGAATATTCCGACTAGCACAACGTGCACCTGGCGGCGGAGGCGGCGGTCGACTCACGTCAGGTTGCGCAGGCGGGCCTCGTGCGGAAACATGGACTGTGTGCTTCCGTCCGACTCGGTGTTGGTCGGTTTGCTGAGGTAGATCTGGCCAAACTGAATAATGTATTGTTTCTGTAGGATGCATGGCACAGAGTGAGTCAAGTGACGACAGTGGGACACCAGTGTTTCAAGGCGCATTGCGCTGCAAGATCGCCATACCGTAACGTCGCCCTCGTTGCCAGAGTGCTGCGATGCCGTCTGCAGAACCAGCTGCGCATTCTCGTCGACAATCTCCTGCATGGTGTTCTGGATGAACTCATCAAAGGAATCGAGCTGCTGGCGCACAAGGCCCTTCTCCTCGAAGAACGAGGTGATGACCTGCCAGCAGTCTTCCTGCGTGATGTCGTCGTTTTCCAAGTCTGAAGGCCGACGATGTGTTCACGGCCGAGGCGAGTGCCGCAGCCAAGACGAATGTGATCACGGGCAGCAACCAGGGGTGTGGTGTTAGCACACTTTGACAGGCGGCGTGTCTGTGTCTCCACGCAGAGCGCAGCCCGCCTGCAAGGCGCAACAGCCGCGGGCTGCTCGCGTATGCCCTGCTGCACCAACGCCGCACCCCTCAAGCCTGCTGAACAGCCCAGCCAGCCAGCCAGCCTGCCAGCCAGCCAGCTTGCCAAGCCTGCCAGCCAAGCCAAGCCAAAACGCACCAAGCTCGTCCATTGCGATCTCGAGTGAAGCTGTTTGGCCGACTTTGGCTGAGCGTTGATGGGCGGGCTCTGATTGGCCTGCCATCAAGTCACGTGCCTCTTCACGTGACTCTCGTTCAACTTCAAACTGAATTTCATCTACATCGCATGTCCCGGCGACCAACCAAGACACACACGGGTAGGTGGCATGCTCTCAGATGTGTGCCGTCCACTGGCCGTTCATGCTGACTCTTGGGTCATTGTATGCCACGCCGGCCGGGCAGCGTGCTCACTCCC